TATATATATATATATATATATATATATATATATATATATATATATATATATATATATATATGTATATGATATATATATATATGTATATATATATATATATATGTATATATATATATATATATATATATATATATATATATATATATATATATATATATATATATATATATATATATATATAGTATATATATATATATATATGTATATATATATATATGTATGTATATATATATATATATATATATATATATATGTATATATATATATATATATATATATATATATATATATATATATATATATATATATATATATATGTGTGTGTGTGTGTGTGTGTGTGTATAATTACGGTGGAAAGAGAAAAATATTTTGTTACAATTTCCCAAGAATACAGAATATTCCAGCCTAGATAAATAGTTTATCAATTCTGAATTTGGCAGTTTTTATGCAGCGACTGCTGATTCAGTTGGGAAAAGCTATTACCTGTTATTTAACAAGTAAAATAGGAGTTCATATGAATGTTAATGTGTATTCCGGTCTCCAATTTTATATACACACATATATATATATATATATATATATATATATATATATATATATATATATATATATATATATATATATATACCAGACGTCATGAAAAGAATTTACATAAAATAAATGGACAACACTTGTATATATTATTTAATGAAACATTTACGAATATATATATATATATATACATATATATATATATATACATTATTTCTGCAACAATCCCATTCTAATGTATGTTACATTATTGGATATGTTACATTAAATAATCGGTCTATATTATGTGTACAAGCGCAAATGTAAAGGGTGTACAAGTTGCTAAAATGTAGATCTGTTCGTATTTCACAATTGCAACCAATATATTATGAGTATCCAATAATAATAACCTTTAAAGTGATACAAATCTCTCTGATACATAAAGATACATTCTAATAAATGCACTCACTCACACTGATCCACACATATATACACATACATACATACATACACAAACACACATATATGCATGTGTGTATGTATAATAAAACATATAAGGGCGCTAGAAGCACAGTGATCGATGGATAATATAAGAAATTTATATGACCAAATCTAATCTAAGAAATATATAAAAAAAATGTTGCTGAAATATTGTTGTATTTTTATATTGAATCCGAATTTTTCATACTGCTTCCTCACAATCTTCAGATGGTTCAAGGGACAAACTTTATAATGGAATAACTTAAATAAAATGCTGTCTGAATTTTTCTGACGCTGTTATCATCAGTCAAACTATTTATATTGTCTTCATCTTTATAGTTTTTATAGCATTGAGGAAGACTGGAGATGAAATCGACTGAAACTTTGTGATAAGAACAACAAAATGAGGACAATAGTCTGAATATAAATAATGTATATCTCTTTTCTAAAATGAGTATGTTGGAGGGAATTCATCAAAAATTTTATAATGAAACAGCTTTTATATATAGTAATTAAATGTGAACAATCTTAGAAAATCTTAATCTATTATTTTAAGTTTGAATATAACGACTGGGAAAGCGGACACGTAAAGACATTTATACTTACAATCAAAAAAGAGTTTTTATTTCTAGGGTACGTTATATGTAAAGTGAGCTTATAAAATTTGACACCTACAAGACAAATTGACGAGAGAAGAGATCGGGGAAGTCATCGCATATGTAACGAAATTGTGTAAATGGTTAGCAGGAGAATGATTAACATAGATGGTAATAAAAAACAATAAATATTTCTAAGAGCTACAAAAGAGAGGATGTTGCGGAGAGCCATGCTCGCCAACGTACTAAAGAGACACGGCGCATTGATGATTCTACGTTTTTATATTCTACTATACTTGAGCTCAAAACTATTCAGAAAAGACGGCATAAAATCCAATGTTTATAATTTTCATATTTGCGTTGATTACAGTATACAAGAATAAAGAATAAATATATTCAATATGGCTCCGTCCGTGATATATAGGTACTAAAAATATTACTGAAAATAATCGATCACATACGATCATAGAATTTTATATTTCATCTCCAATCTATGTTCGTTTTATTTAATTCGATTCAGTAACTTTATACATAGAACTAATTTCTAAATATATCCAGTTAGAGTATGAAATAAAAGAAAATAACTATAATATAAACACGCACCCACCCCGTGTGTAAGCGCTCACAGGTCATATACATATATATTACACACACACACACACACACACACACACACACACACACACACACATATATATATATATATATATATATATATATATATATATATATATATATATATATATATATATATACATATATATATATATATATATATATATATATATATATATATATATATACATATATATATATATATATATATATATATATATATATATATATATATATATATATATATATATATATATATATATATATATATATATATATATATATATATATATACTTATTTAGAAATATATATTGACATTTGGAAAAGCGTTCATGAACTTATGTTACTAAAATAATATCCGATAATGCAGTACATACCCAAATTTATTACACACACGCACATATATATTTGTGTGGTGTGAGCGTCTGCGTGTTTGTACACTATCCAAAACATATATATGTACACGTGCGTATGCATTTGCAAAGCTATAGCTTTCTGTATTTGTTATATGACTAAATCAAAAGTGATATATATTCATAAGCCAGTGGCTCTTTATGCATACGTCAATCGGAAAATGTTAAGATTTTCATGTAAAAAATAATTTTAGATTTGCCGCAAGAGTCGAATTGAAAATCTTCTATCCTCAGCTATTTGAAAAGATTGATGTGCATTCAAAAAAAAAATAAATAAATAAATAAAAATAAAAAAAACATTTTGGTGCTTGCCCCAGCATATTCAAATGTTATTTTTGGCGCTCATGCAAAAATATTTTGTGGATTAGGTTTATAAAATTTCAAGACTCACCTCTTCCCAAAGCAATGCTTTTTCTTTATATAATAATAATAATAATAATAATAATAATAATAATAATAATAATAATCCTCACTTGCTTGGCACACGAAAACAATTTGATAGTCTTTCAAAATGGTAATAGCTAGAATATGACCTTTTAAACACAACCAGTTTTTCAATAATAATATGTGCACTGGGAATGATTAAAAATAATACTGATGCAAATATTAAGAAAATCCCTGGATCCTCCCCGGTATCTCTAATAGTGTTCATGAACATTTGTCCTTAACACAGAAAACACAGATATTTAATGAATATCAATACAAAAGATACAGCACTTTATAGGAACATCTTCAAAAACTACTGACTTTCCAACATTTATCGAGCAGACAGTGAAAATACACGTCTCATGTTGGATGGATGTTATCTCAAGGGGATTACTTGCTTTGAATACCTATTGGGATACAGTCTCACCCCAGACCTCAGGAGGAACCGAAATATACGATCCATTACTGAAGATGCTGAAAAAATGGTTAGTTCATTGTCTCACTCCAGAAAATATCCGACTCCCTCTTTTATGCTCTATACTTACAAGAGATAAAATAGAATAATAGAGAATTGATACTATATTTTAGTTGTAGCTGCCCTGTTTTCACTTGCCATTCGTGGTAGCGTTTTAAATGTCTACGTGGCCTTGTGGGTGATGAATTATTTCCCTCTTTATAACTCTTTACCCACAGAGAAAATGACTCAAAACTCTCAAAATTCTATCGCTAATTTCATGGCAAATGTTCTGACGAGCTACATTCCATAGTTCCAACATTTATGACCTTTGCAGTTAAATCACACTATGCTATTGACACGGTGACGAATTATCCGAATTCCATTTATATTCTGTTAATAAGAAGGACATTCCATTCTGATAATTTCTTCCACAGAACTGCTGCTCTAAAAAATGTTTCTCGACTGCAAAAAACTCCTCAGGTGTAACCTTGACCATTATCTTCCCTCTACAATTACATATACTACGCTTTTATCGCCTCTTATTACGTCCACATACGATTCAGTAACGCTCTATTTTGAGTGGCTCCTTATAATGAATATTTATATGTAAATTTAATACTCTCACGAAGTATCTTGGGACACTATTTTTATTCAGACCTCAGGTAAGATTTTGTAATGTATTGTATCAAACAGGAAATCATCTAAAATGGAAGAAGAAATAATAATAATAATAATAATAATAATAATAATAAACATCTTATATTGAGACATTTACCTGCTGTGTATTGCATATTTTCTCTATATCGGAAATCAGATTGTACGTTTTCTTCATATGGATAAAGCATGTAACCTTAACTAAATTCGATCTTCTTTTTTTTTTCCTTAGGAAATGACATCAACATTTACAAACACCCTCAACTCATAAACACACTCCATCTCAATGTGTAATATTTATAGCCGTGTTCTCTAAGCAATAATTTATCTGTGCGTGTTTCTAAACTGTAAAACGATTTCGCTGAAATTTGGCTCCAAATATGTTTCGTTTAAAAAGCTATTGCAGAGTATACAGACTGGGTGATGTAGAGATGATAATGATAAAGAAAGTCCTTGTACAATGCGTTGTAAATGGATCGGACAAATAACTGATTTCGAGAATAATTTGACTTTTGTAAATGTTGCTAACATTTAGAGACGGATACCTTTTTATTCCTTTGAGAGAAATATTTGTTTCTTTTTAATTTGTGACATATCAACATCGATTATTTATTTAATCCCGAAATCTAAATACGTTTTACACAATTTTATTTTTTATATTTTTGTAGATAATAATAGTTTTAGTGGTACAATTTCTAGTAATTAACCCATAGCTATAGGAGGAGAAAAAGTGAATTCATACCTTTCCCAATGATATTTCGGCGTAAGTCAATAACACGAACCCAAGTAGTATTAGAACTCGGCTCTCCGATTAACAATTTCGAGCCTTATCTATTACACCACTCAGTTACAGCACGTTGAATTCCGAAGTGTCCTCCCATCTCGGTACTAATCAGGTTCGATGTTGCTTAACTTCGGTGATTGTACGGGAACCAGTGGTTGTAAGCCTAAGAAAATAATATAAATATCTTTGATAATCATAAAAATATAATTAATTAAAATTACCCTCTCAGTGAAATGTTATATTCGCTGTATGTAGAATACATTATTCTGTTGAATCGCAAGTAGATTAATTTTACGGTTGGATTAGCTAGTTCCATGTTTAACCTTTTGTGAACTCATAGTTTTTCTTCTCCTTAAGTGATTTGCCAATTTAAAGAGTCATTCTGTCTTGCTATTCAACCGATAGCTGATAGAGAGAAAACACATATTCATAACATTCTCAGTTGCATCTTTCTTGAAAGAAAACTCAAAAGTTAGAATTTAAATTCGGCGCCGATATCGAATTCGTTACGCGTATATCGAATTTAAATATATTATCATCCTATTTTACTGGGTCAGATGAATTAACTATTACAGTTTATTGCCTATTGGAATACAAATTTTGATTACACTGGTCAACAAAATGAAACCGTTTTAATCATTAAAGTTGAAAGATTAATTTTCTTAGTTTTTTTCATGCTAACTTTTCACGATTTCATTTCAAGTCAGATTTTCCCTATCATTTCACATTTTCTTTTGTTACTGATAACTAGTTTTCATGTTTGGGTACTTAATTCATGTACTTATTGCGGATAACAAAGACAAGATAAGTCATTTTCGATGCCATTTCTAGTACAAAACTATTTTGTAAAAAATAAAGCTACAATTCTTTCTATTGAATTACAACTTAAAATATTTGGGAATTAGACTTTACAAAACGTTAATCTAACAGTAGTCATTTAGCATTTCTTCTTTCCAAAATCTATATATACACACACAAAAATCTATCTATCTATCTATCCACACACACACACACATATATATATATATATATATATATATATATATATATATATATATATATATATATATATATATATATATGTATATGAAAATAATATAATTTTAAGGTATGCTATATTTATGGGTTAAAGTGCTCAATATATGGTATAGAACATATGAAAATATAACCTGGATATTAAAGTCATCCCCAAGTGACGACAGTCTGTTTCATGCTTAAAGTCAATTATTATGTGCGTTGAGTTTTGACTCGATTATTTGTTCCTGCTGGTCAGTGGTGCATTATAGGTAGGTTTATTATGCTATCGCAACTGTTAGTTAGGTGGCCGGTAACGGTTATATTAGGAATTATTCTAGGGAATATTGAGTAGAAATGATTGCGGCTTCAGATGCAGATTTGTAGTCATATATCTGTGTGTATGAGAGAGAGAGAGAGAGAATGAAAGGTAGATCGGTACATACAGAGAGATAGAGAGAGGAAGAGAATTAAAGCGAGAAAATGTTTTCATATCTATCTATGTCCGTGTGTGTGTAATAGAATGATACCCTATATCGACGTATATCTATAAAAGAAAAAAAAGATCACTTTAATTCAGAAATGGTGCAGACCACATCATCATTTTCAACCCTTTATTATATACTCCATAGCTTTGCGCGACCTTCTTCCGTAATTAAAATCCGGCAAGACAAAAGCTGGCACATGGTATTATCCTCAAAAATAAAAAACGAAACGCGACTTCCCAGCATTCAGCTTCATTAGATTCCGGTAATCATTTCAGAAGAAATGCTTCTACAGTTGTATATACTTTTTTTTTTTTTATTCATGCAAAAGCGTGATCATTTCGCTTTCCTTTGTTTGTTTTTGTCTTTCTGTTTTAAATATTTTGCGTGTTAGTATTTTCCTATATTTTTACGTATTTCTCCCTTCTCTCATGTTAGAGTCCAGCTTAGATTTGATTTGTCCTTTTTCTAGTTTCGAAGTCTTGGATTTTAAACATCGATATATATATATATATATATATATATATATATATATATATATATATATATATATATATTTGTTCCCTTTAATTTGTACACATGCGCCTCAAAACTAGTGAATTTTTATGAATGTCATAATAAACACACACATATATATATATTATTAAATTAAATTAAAGGGAACAAATATATATATATATTGTAATAAAAAGAAAGAACAGTAAGATATATAATCCAGTGTTCTAACTGATATTTTTATTTTTACAAAACAGTGCTCAATGTAAATTTACAAAGCGTAAATATTATGAATTAACTGGTTTAAAATATGATCTGTTCGCTACACAGAAACTACCATGTTTCAAAAACCAAAGCTAAAAACGTCACATTTAATTATATAATTAATTTAAAAGCATTAGTTCTGTTTCATCTTAAAGCGAAAATTCGCTCGAAGATGAAAGAGAACTAATGCTTTTTAATAGGACATACTTCGTCAGTGTGCTGCTCTACGGTAGCGAAACTTGGAGACTCTACTCCAGAAAAGAGAAACGTCTCAGCTGCTTCGCTGCTTGAGACACATTCTGAACATCAATTGGTCTAACCGGGTCACGAATGCCTTAGTTCTCGCTCGTGCCGAGTAGCCAGCCCATACACCCTTCTCCAACATCGTAGCCTTGGAGATAAACACCCTACACTGAATGGAAGGATTCAGAAGGCCTATCTGTACGGGGAACTGCCCACCAGCAAGAGGCTGACTTCATCTTCGCTTAAAGGATGTCTGCTAAAGGGATATGAGAGCAATGTATATGGAAATCGGTCGCGGGAAGACGTCGCCAACGATCTCTAACGCTAGAGACGCGATTTACACAGAGAGAGAGAGCGGGGAGAAGAGAAAGTACGGCTTGACGCCGAGGAGAAGCATGACCGAAGGGAAAAAATCATGGCAATATCGGAAGTCTTCATATGCATTTGTTGGAATCAAAACTCAAACTTCTGTGTGGGCCTGTAAAGCCATAACTGATTTTGCAGTGCCACCAGAGGCATAACTATTTGGACGCATATATCTATCTACCTACCTACCTATCTCTCTCTCTCTCTCTCTCTCTCTCTCTATATATATATATATATATATATATATATATATATATATAACATTTTGACAGATAAATATAATTAAAATTTATATTTATATATTCATATAAATTCATATAATTATATATAAATATTATATATATATATATATATATACACACATATACATATATATATATATATATATATATATATATATATATATATATATATATATATATATATATATGATAGATAGATAGATATATAGATAAAAATTTAATATTATTTTATAATATATAAAAACTTTAACAGTTAAATGTATAAGCGAAAAGACTCGGAAAAAAAAGAACATTCGGACAGTTTATATATAATTTATCCACCGCGAGGAAAGTTGTCTCTCTGTGCCGCGCCAGGAAATTTTTCTCCCTGGAATTGATCCTTCAAATATACAAATCAACCATTCGCCCTCGCATGGAGTATTGCTGCCATATATGGTCTGGGGCACCTTCTGTTTACCTCGAAGTTCTTGACAAGATCCAGAGACGGATATGTAATATAATTGGCCCTGATAAGGCATCTCGTCTACAGTAACTCTCTCACAGACGCACCGTCGCCTCTCTCTCTCTCTGTCTTTTTTACAAATACTTTCATGGTAATTGCTCCGATGAGCTGGTTTCACTGGTTCCCAGACTCCATGAATTCAAGCGCCCTCCGAGGCTGGCATCCCGCTCCCACCCTTACACCGTAGAAACTTTGAAATGTAGCCGTCTCTTCTACTCCAATAGCTTCATACCTCGCACCTCTCGCCCGTGGAACACCCTTCCCAATTACTGTTTCCCTGAGAGCTATAATCTCCAACTATTCAAATGTAATGTCAATCGACACCTCCAGTTACCTTGATCTATCCACTATCCCTTTCTTCATCCTTTCTTCTATCACTCCTATCTGCTCTCGCTCCAAATCTTCTGCAACCCCCTGCATCCTAGTGGCTTCACGCCTTGCTCGGGGCGTAATGCTTAGAAAAAATATTGAAAAGAAAAAAAAATTAGATCGCATGAGAAATTGTATAAAAAACTAAACCAAATCACTTTGTCGTATTCAATGAAATGTGCATGAAACAAGGATTGCTGCCTAAATACACACACATACATACATACACATACATATATATATATATATATATATATATATATATATATATATATATATATATATATATATATATAAATTGTTTGCTCTAAAGTACGCCAGCGAGTTACCGTGTCCTTGCGTCCTGTCAAGACCTCAAAGATAGAAAGGGTTATAACAATCTCATGCTTTTCTCTCTTGCATTCGCGAAATAAAAACACACACCAATTTCAAGTATTTTCATTTTTAAGATCTTATTTCTTCAAATAAAGAAATAATTTACATTCATAATTTATTATTATTATCGCAATGTTAGTTCTAAGTTGTTAGACTCACACGTATAACAATACTAGAGGATTATTTCCACGGGTGTGTTGTCGTAAGCAATGAGCTTTTTCATTTATTAAATGCAGGGTGCGGCCGAAATACCTCCCACATTTAAATCTTAACAAAAAGACCAAATTAAGGGCTAGTTAAAAAGAATTTCACTATTCGTTACAAAATGGGTGACAGTATTTATTTAGTTTGTTGTAAATGTGTCATCCTCTATATTATATCTACAGTGTTCGCCATAGACTGTTGTAGACGTTTTTCTTCACCCGGAAATTAGTTGGTCTTCCAGTTTTCTTTCTCTCAAGCGGTGAACATGTAGACCTGAAATGTTCAAGCCATAGCTGTATCAATTTTCTATCTGGAACAGTATCATTCTGACGTAAATTTAAATGAGATTGAAATGCTCTCAGTTTTGCAATCAGATTCTCCAGTTTTTTTTAAAAAAAGAACGTTTCAGCAGCAAATGCACGTAGCCAAAACCATGATGTCATCTGCTAGCTTCTGAAAAAAAGAAAGCCATTAGCAAGATGAAGACAATACTGCGAATTGTCTAAGTTCAGTAGCACCACAAAGGTGACAGAATAAAATGTGGGAGTTTTTTTCTGCCGCACCATGTATTATGATACATCAGAAAATTCAAATAGGAA